TGCGGCGGAAAGGAATTTTTGACATTGTTTGGCATAAAATATTGTGTGGTGCAACGCTCAGATCATAAAGATGTTTAGTTAAGTAATAATGATTACAATATAATTGTATTTGGTTTATGTAACACACAAAAATTACGCGAAACTATACAAAAACGCCCCTGATACACGTAAGAATCATCAGTGAATTACACTGAACAAGATTAGATATAATGAGTTAGGAGATAAGTTGAATATAAATTCAGTTTTATACACATGAATGAAATGAATGATGTAATGTGAGTAATACCAAGTTCCTGTGTTTATGAGATATCACCCACTAATTGAGCTATATATCCAGTATCAGTAAAGTTTATCTTGGCTTGTTTTTTCGCTCAAACGTTTCTAGATGGATATTTTTCCTGTCCATTTTTAAAACTTTCCTGCTTCTTTGGATTGTTTCATGTTATTTGTATTCATTTGAGTCCATTAGTGATCCGTTTGCCATTAAAGTAGTTTCTCCATATTATTGAAAGTTTTTTGATATTTCTATATAAAACCTATGTGGTACTTATTTTGCTAGTCTCACATGCAATTCTTTTTAGTTTTAAAATTGTGACTAGGACCGGCATGGCCAGGTGGTTAGGGTGCTCGACTCATAATCTGTGGGTCGCGGGTTCGAATCCCCGTCACACCAAAACACGTTCGCCCTTTCAGCCGTGGGGGCGTTATAAAGTGACGGTCAGTCCCACTATTCGTTGATAAAAGAGTAGCCCAAGAGTTGACGGTGGGTGGTGATGACTAGCTACCTTCCCTCTAGTCTTACACTGCTAAATTTGGGACGGCTAGCGCAGATAGCCCTCGTGTAGCTTTGTGAGAAATCCAAAACAAATTGTGACTAAAGTTTTAGTCTACGTTCATGATAGTGACGATTTACTTCAAATAGCGTGAACTTCATGATCCGAGGAATTATGTTTTAGAAAAGAATCTGAGGAAAGGTGTAAAACTCAATAAGTTGAAATGAGGAGACAGTTGATTTCACTGCATCAAGAAAGCAAATACTTCATATTTTTGAGGAATTAATAAAGTTCACCATCAATAAAATTTAATTTCTTAAATATGCTATGTTATTCGTAGTTAAGGACGGTGAAAGTAGAAAATGAGGTCCCTGACCTCCATTTGGTATTCCTAAACGATTTAACTTCTTCCCACTGTTGCTGTGAATTAACAAATGTATTTTTGATTTAACTTATTATTGGTAGGTGAGAAGTCAGAGACAAAGTTCCTTAAGTCTTATATTTGGTTTGGTGCCAAATGTTTGTTGTTGGCATGTTTATTAAACATAAAACTACACAATGGGCTATATCTGCTATATCCACCACGAGTATCGAAACACGATTTTTAGTGTTCCAACTCCTCATCAGACTTAATGTTGAACCAGCGAGGTATTGGTAGTGCCAATAGATGTTATAGTCAGGTAGAAGACATATTAAATAATTTTAATAGAATATTTTAACTATGATAAAAGTCTTGTTTTGTAAATGGTTATTTTTTGTCTAAAAAATATCGGTTTAAAATCGCATGTTACATAAGCAATTATGTAGTTTTATGACTCATATCATTATGACGTAAACTTCTGCCTATAGGTGAGTAGGTTATATTTTAATTGTTGCAGATAAAGAAACTTTAACGAATTTGTAAAGAAGACATGCAAATACTTGATTAGTAGCCAAGAATAATCAACGTAACTAACAATAAAATTAATAATATATTACGACGTTACAAGAATCGTCTATCGTTAGATTCATCACATCGTAATAATGCTTAGAATTGTTTGCTTTTGAATTTCGCTCAAAGCTACACTAGGGCTGACTGCGCTAGCCGTCTCTAATTTAGCAGTGAAAGACTAGAGGGAAGGCAGCTTGTCATCACCACCCACCGTCAACTGTTGGGCTACTCTTTTACTAACGAATAGTGGGATTGACAGTCATAGTATAACGCCCCCACGGCTGAAAGGGGCGAGCTTGTTTGGTGGGACGAGATACTTAGTATAAAAGAACGTAATCTGATGAAGGAAGATTTCCGAAGAATTTTTTTTTATTAATTTTTTTCATTTTTTGTTGAGGTAGTTTTTATTTCTTCAAAGTTTAACAATTCAATGTTACAAACGATACTTTGGAAATGAAATAAGTTAAACTCAATTTTTTAGGGGATTTCAACTTGCTTAGTCCTATTTATATTTCAATTTTCTTCTCACTTTTCATTGCGTGATTTCTAGGTATTGTTCAACTTTCTCGTTAAAAACTGATTTCGAATTGTGGCTGGAAGCTTTGTGATATTTTACCTTGTGAACCTTCATCAACTTCACATCACTGGTTACTAATTAGTTAGCGCTGCTAAGAAATATGCCAAACTTCATTTTTTTAGGGGGGTTGAAAGGTTCGTTTTCGTGTTCATAGCCTTCACTGAATGATAGTGTTGTCCAAAAGTACAGTTTTCGGAGCCCATTACTATTCTAAACGTTCTGTTGTACGAGTTTTGCTGCATCGTGTAATACATCAAACGCTCCTCTCTTCTTCTTAGTTCTATCTATCTATCTATATATATATATATATATATATATATA